AAGGATATTCCATTTGAAGTAAGGCAACGGAGAAAGAAATACAAAGAACTTGTGCTCTTCCTCCAAACAAATTCAATTGGATACAAATGGCTATTTCCAGAAGGAGTAGCATTTAAGATCAAAGAGAAGAAGGTTAAGATTGACTCTGTTCTTAAAGCTCAAGAATTTCTAAAGGAGCAGCTGGGAAGGTCAGAGGAAGAGAAAAAAGAAGACGACAGCAGGTCCAGCGGCGAGCTGGAAACTGGTTCATCTGGCGAGGACTCTTTGTCTGAGCAGGGGGCAGCAGCCCTGAAAAGTCCCTACAAACTGCGGAAAAGAGAGAAGAAGAAGTAAAGGCTGAAGGACTCTGAATTGTGCCTTTGAGAACTTTGGTTCCAGGGGATGATGGGGGGCACTGTTATTGGGCAATTAAATGTAAATGGGGAGGGTTAAAAGTTCTAAAAGATTGACACTGTTCATAAGAAGTACAAAGATGATAAGTTTGGATGTTAAAAAAAAAAAGCTAGTTAGAGGATCTCCTCTCTCGGATTTTTAGTCAGTAGTGGGTTCTTTACTTTCTCCCTTATATGTAGTTTTCCCCTCCCCCTTTTCTGTTGTAGTTTTTTGTAGTGTTAAAAAAAATCAATAAAAAAATCCCCTCTGGGGGCTCAAAAAACCCCAAAACATTTCACTTAATCTTATATTTGAAGTATAACTGATGTGGCTCTTACTGTATTGTTTTGAGGATGCAGGGACCCTCTGTGTGGCATTCAGGCTTTCTGTAAACTTTGAAAGAGCGTGGCGAGCACCAGTGGGGGAGGAAAGGACTGCTTTGAAGATCCATGAGAAGTGTTAAATTAAAATGAGGGTCCTGAGGGTGCTAAGATTTGAGAGCCATTGTGCTAAAGATTTCCATTGAACTGTCAGATGGGCAAGTATTGGGAGACACTCTATTAAATGATTCACTGGCTCTTTGCCAAGCTTTTGATTCTATGAGATCAGATGAAGTTACTTGACTTAGAATAACGACACTTACACAGCATTCTGCATGACACTTTGACCGAACAAGATGTTCTTCCTGGAAATAAGAAAACAGCTTTTGGTGTATTCCTGGGGCGATATTTTGTAAGAACAGAGACAGGAAATAATTCCAGCATGCTGACTGTACTTAGTTGTATGTTTTAAGCCAAAACAAGTACAGTATGACTAACTTATAAGAAATCAGCCAAAGTCCACAAGGGCGTTTTGGTTGGCTTTGGAATGCAAATCCTCCAGCACTGACATATGATTACAATTATTATTATTATTAGTCAACAGTGAAACAGTGATTACTTATGGTAATGAGCATTGCTAGACTGGGTTTCTAATGTATAAAATGTCAAGAAATACACACATTCTCAGTTGTATATGTGTGGGGAAAGTGAGAGGTTTTCGTATGCTCTGCACATAACACACAAACCAAATGAACACAGACAACATGCTTTTCACTTCAATAACAAATCCATTCAGCAGAGAAAGGAAAAGCTGTGACGATTACCAGGGAAGGGAAATAACAGTGCACAACCCACTTGTGATAAAGTAGGAGTGGAAGGGATAATGTGCATTTCTAATGAATTGGCACAAATTTGCATCACCCTGGTGCACCATCAAGGAAAAGGTGCCGCTTGCCAATCCATGTGCTTTTGCATAGTCTAATGCTACACAATAGTTTCTTTCCATTTCACTCTGTACTCTCACTCAACCCTGGTCCAGCCCAGACACTACACACTGCAAGAGGAGCATCTGATTTTTCCAGGATTTTTTGAAATGCAAACTGTAGTCACAAGAAATTCCAATTTGGATTCTGAATTCCAATGCACCCCCTGGGAGGGGGGGTACCCTTCCTACCCCGTGTGGATTTGCTAGTCAGAACCAAGCCCTTATTGTTATTAGCCTTACTGTTAAAACATAGATGATTCCACACTACAAGCTTTGTTGCTACCATTTGATGTCAGTACATAAATGTCACTCCAATATGGTCATGGGACTGGGAACCATCTATAAAAATAGCTGTATAATCACTATAGATTAAATGGTGTTTCAGGGAACATCTTGTTGGCAGCAAGCCAGCAGCAGCTGAGTTCCATCTGGGCTAAGTTCTGTCTTCTGCTTTTTTTCCAGGTACTTAAAACCAGGGTGAGGCCAGATGAGTAAGCCCTTGAGTGTGTAAGTGGTACAGTTGTCTTTACAAAACTTACTAAAACTAGAAAATAAACTCTTGACTTAAGGAAAGGCTATAGGTCAGTGGCACCTTTGGTCCCAAGTTAAATCCTCTGCATCTGCAGGTGGTGTGAAAGACCATGAAGAACCACTGCCAGAGTAGCCAGTAGCCAGGGGTCATTTTGTAAAAAAAGAGGTTTAGGAGCTCATTAGCATACATCATTAGCATAACTTATTTGCATATGCCACACCCCCTGACATCACCGGAAGTGTGTCAGAAGGCAACCCCCACCGCTCAAGCTCCACTGGACTGTTTTGGATTGCTAGCTAATGGGGGGGGGAAACGTGTAGATCTGCTGTCACAGAGGAGGGAGAGCTTGTACCTGAAGGCGGGCTGGGGGGGGGCTCTGCAACTTACCTGGCTGCTTCTTGCTCCTCATGGCCTGACTGAGGGCTGCTGGGAGCAGGGGACAGGGCTTGTTGCATGTGCTCGCCCCCTGGGCTCCTTACTGCTGGAGCTCCGCTCCTGTGTGCTCCCGCAGGAAATGACCCCTGGCCAGTACTCACCTCAACAGACTAATGGTATAAGGCAACTTCATGTATTTGTTTGTGTTCAACAAGACCATTTCAAAGTTGGCAAGGATGTGGCTATATAGGTGGTTCTTGTCAATGGCAGTAGACTTTAATTCAGTCAAATTAATTCCATTAACCAAAGAGCTTCCTATTTGTGTCTCAGCAGAGCCTCTACATTGCTTCTGTATACGGGGACAACAAAGCAACATGCTCCACACAAAGGCATTGTCAAAGTCTAAATTGCCATTGATTTTAAAATGCTATAATTCTCATTAGTTTCTGTAACCACCTTTTTACTCAGTTTCCACAGAGGAGGGTAAACAAGGCACAAGGCATGAATGAAATCATTAGAGTAAGCTACTTGCCCATTATCTACTTGACTGCCCTGCCAGCACTGAGATAATGGACATCATTAAATACGCAGACAAGATAAAAAAGGAGAGCAAAGAAAATTACAGTAAAAGATCAAACTAAAGCCTCCCTAAAGCAGCCTCAACAGGCATCTTTATTGGCTGTGTAAAGATATGGGTTTTACACTTCTAAAGAACAAGCTTACACCAATCCAGGTAAACCTAGCAATTTCGCCATAAGCTTGTTTCTTGCAGAAAATGCATGGTCTTGTGTGGTTTTATGCTGTCTGGAGAGTCAGAAGGAACATAAAGAACCCCACACACACACACACTGGATGACTGAAGAAATCTGCACAGGAGCTTTACTTAAGAGAAAGCTCTTTCCCCTTTCCTCCTTCCCCCTTTGTTCATATCTACAAGAAAAATAGCTATTTCTTTCCCACTCCAAAGAAGGTGCTTTAGGAAGGCCAGAAGTGGGGGGGGGGGGGGAGATGCAATATAGCACAAAAAGCCACTTTTTCTTCCCTGTTGGTAGGAAAACTTGTGCTAGATGAAGGATTAATACAAGAAGTGCTCAGGGTTTATGAGCAAGCGGTAGCAGATCAACCACACCAGATTTCTTTAAAAACAAAGGCCCATGTAAATGCCACAAAATACACCAGTCATCCTCCTCAATCCCATTACCAAGCACAGAGAATGTCAATAGACATTCCTTAAGAAGGAAACTGTTTGGAAGGAGAATGAACTGCCTTCTCCTGGAGACTGACGTGTTTCATTAAACTTTCTATCAGTGTTAGGCTATAGCTGCTAAAGTATAAACTTGAAGCCGTTCCAATAGGCTGATTAGTTGCAACTCTTAAAATGATGCAATGATTTCTCAGTTTCATTATTCCCTCTAGAACACCTCTAGCCTTTTTTCTCCTTGTGGTGGAGGAAGGTCAGAATTTCCCAAAACAGGAAACTCAATAATCAGAGGAAATCTTCAAGGAAAAGAACCACACATTTTCCTGGCAGTATAAAGTGAAGGGTGAAATGAGGGAAGGAAATTAAAGTGGCACACACAGAATGAAACTTCAAGCACTTACTGTCTGAAAAAATAAGTTCATCATTGCATTCTTCATCACTGCAGGAACACATGAACAGCAATCCACCAGCTTCCTTCATTTCTTTCATGATACATTTCTTTGAATGGAAGTCATCCAGTTTGTGCCCATGAAGCTCTAGTTTGGGATCGTGACATATTGTTTCCAAGGTTATATTTTCATCATTCTTTCTCCTAAAAAGGGGATAGGAAATTTAAAACAGGGGGGAAAAAATTCAAGAGCAAACCATTTTCTAACACTCAAAATTTAAGTCCCACTGAAGCCTTGCAATAGTTACCATCTTTCTGTCACTTACTCTCAAGTAGCCTCTTTCACGTCACTGAAACATATACAATCCCCACTCAAGAATAAATTATTAGAAAAGTGCCTTACTGATGACAATGTACCTGGCTGAATATTGTCCTTTTCAGTTTGGTGGACCACAGCTTGTGCTGGCCTGGTACAAAATAACTGGGGCAAAAACCTTTATATGTTCAAACAGCTGCTGGCAGATTTACAGTGCAACCTGTCTAAATCCACTCAAGTAAATGGACTTAGAAACCTGCAATTCTGTATGGTGCTAGATATCCTCTTCCCGACTGTCCCCCAACCCAGACGGAAGCACGACAGCACTGGCATTTTGTAGAAGGGGTGACTAGACTGAATTCATTCTTTCTACCACAGACAAATCCCATTCCTAAATAGGATAGCAGATGGCTAGCTATGTTCTGTTGCAGATTAGAGAAGTTGGTGCCAGAGAGAGAGAGGTTTCCTAAAACTCATATTCCCTCCCCCCCCCCAAAAAAAAAGATAATGGAGATTTTAGAAAAATTGAAATATATGCTATAATCAATCAAACCTAAACCATTACCATTATGTTGTATGGGACTGTGATGCAATCAAACAGGAATAACTTTTTAAAAAGAATTCATTAAAAGCTTTACAGCTCTATTCAGGTTTTGCCTTGTCGCTCAATAGCTGGGCAGACATACTGATAGGAACAGCAGTGCACTGAAATGACTAGCCTTGCACATTCTCACTCTGGAATCAAAAGGAGTTAAGAGAGTTTTATATTAGGTCATATGGATCAAGTGCTTTTAAGGGCACTACAGCTAAGCATTTAGGTTGATGCGCAGGCTGTTTAGTTCCAAGAGCAGCAGTGTATAAACATACTAATATCACAAATTAACAAAGAACCCTTCCAATCTTCAATACATTAAGCCATAATGAAAAGCAGTTCCAAATAATAAATCTTTTATATGCCATTAACTGAGCTGCAGTCACATTTATTTTATTTAAAACATTTTAACCCACATTCTAAGCAAAACTATGCAAGACCATATTGAGACTTTTATACCACTGTTTACCCCAATCTCTCCATATTCAAAGTTGTAATGAGGAAACATTTGCCAAATACAGTTTAAAAGGTCTAGGGAAAATGTACTTTTTTAGATCCAGAAAGATATCTGCATCAAAGAGAACTAATGTTTATAGGTGTTCTGAATTTCAGAGTAATGCGTTCTAAGGTTGCCAGCCTCCAGGTGGAGCCTGGGGATCTCCCACTTTTACAACTGATCTCCAGGTGACAGAGATCAGCTCCCCTGGAGAAAATGGCTGCTTTGAAGGGTGGACTCTATGGCATTGGACCATGCTGAGGTCCCTCCCCTTCCCCAAACTCCACCCTCTCCAGGGTCTGCCCCTAAAGTCTCCAGGAATTTTCCAACCCAGACCTGGCAACCCTAATGCATTCCTATTAGAAAGGTTCAGATCCAAGTTTGGAGTGAATATTCTGGAGCCTGATACTCTGATTTATCATATGCCCTAAAGGGTTTTTTCAGGGGGGGGGGTCTTTTTAATTTCCATGAGTGACTCCAGCTATATTAGTGATAGCACCTGTGTTAGTAGTGGCAAATGTTATACAACTACTTGATTATTGAATGTTTTTCTTAATAAATGCCTTCCATTTCAAGATGTAGAACATGGTATTTGGTTGGAAACAATGTAAAACTTTGATGTACTTTTAGCTATTCCTTATTTATATCCTTATTTCCTCCAAAGATGCAAGTACAGAGCAAATTTGAGAAATGGTACCTGTTCAAGATGAACTCCTAACTTTAACACTATTCCTGTATATAAAAAAAAATTCTGCTCATTTCCAAATAGTGGCCCATAGCCAAATTTCTGCATGGTGTGATAGAGCTGAAGGAATGTGATTGCATCTTCCATCCAAGAAGAATGAGAGGACTTGCGCAGACAGGATGACCCTACTCTACAGACTCTGCACAAAACCTGAATTGCACAACATTCAATTTTCCAGCATAGCATCAAGTCCAAATGTAGTTCAAACGTTTATTTCTTCCTATGTGCTTCAATCAAGATACAAATTGAAATGGCACATATGGTTCTTATGTTATATGAAACTCAGCAAATAGTGCCATAAATAAAGCCATCGTGAATCATTGTGAGTAAAACAGCTAGCTTGAGTCAAACTGGAGGAAACCTTTAAAAGTACCATCTGCTCCCCAGCCCTCCTCAGAAGTCAATGAGAGATTTTAAACAGAGTTGTTTTTTAAAAAGGGAGAAGTTAAACCAATAGGGAATATCTTCAAGTGAACTCTCTGTGTTACAGAAGATACAACATGAAACATTAGCTTCTCAGACTGCCTAAAGACAAGCTCTGTGTAACTCAAAAGGTTACCAAAATAAACTGGTCTGATAAAAATGTTTCATTTATCAGCATTTTGTTTTCATATACTGGGTAGCAAGAGTCAGTTGCTTTTTGAACTGAATGGAATTCATCCTCACTTTGCAAAACTTGCAGGAAAATATTGTGTTGACATGTTGCTAGGCATTTTCCCTCGCATGCACTGGAGTTGCAAATTTTAAAGGCATAAAATGAGAATGTGCTGAAGCAGTCTCCTCTGCACGGTTAGCTCTTTGTTGGATATGATCTGTGCCTGGAAAATGGAACAGCGTGGGTCATGATTAGGGTTGCCAGCTCTGGGCTGGGAAATACCTGATGATTTTGGGGGTGGAGCCTGAGAAGGGCAAGGTTTGAGGAGGGACTTCAATGGTGTATAATAAGGCCATAGAGTCCACCTTCCAAAGTAGCCATTTTCTCTAGGTGAACTGATCTCTGTCTCCTGGAGATCACTTGTAATCTCAGATCTCCAGCCACCACCTGGAAGTTGGCAACCCAATGATACCTTGCAAATGGGACCAGTCATTGCAAATGGGACCCCCCTGAATCTTTCCAGCTCTGATGGGAGCTTTTGCTTAAGGGTTGTACACCACTGTATGCCTTTGGGTAGTGTATATACGGCAGCTAACCACCAGTCAGGATCCATGGAATGCTGGAGGAGCCAGATGAGAAGGGGACTGGATGAGAAAAATCTGTGAACTGCCAGAGAGTGAGACTGGAGAGATCTTTTCCCAGGAAAATGTGTGGTTTCAGAGCCTGGCTTTGGAAGAAAGCAAACTGATACAGTGAATACTTTAGGAGATAGGTTTTGTGGTACCAAAGGGTTAGGCTGGTGGTGGTGGGGGATCCTTTCTCAGGCAGCTATGTAGGTCTTGGAGCCAGCCTCTTGGGGGAAGCAGGGTAATTTAGTGAATGCTTTAGGAGGAAACTGTACCTGTCACAGAGCCTGTCTTCTGGAAAAAACTGGCTAAAGATCTGGAGTTTCTAGAAGGAACTCATACTGTGGAATTTCTGAAGCTATGGAAAAGCCGAAGATTCAGAAGAGTTTTAACTGAATAAGTCTGGCAAATATTGTGAGTCAAACTTGTAAATAGTTTCAAGGCTCTTGTGAAGATCCTTAATTCCCCTCTCCCAGGACAAAAAAAATACTCCCCCCCCCCAATTTCTTTCTCATATCATGTTCTAGGGAGGGTAGGACACTTTTTTAAAGCATAGTCCATTCATCACCACAGGGAAGAACTCAAATGCCACCACAGTAGCAAGCAGCGACATTAATTAGGCTGCAATAAATTTCCTCAAATGTACTTGGATCACTGCATTTAGAAGCTACTTAGGTTCAGTCTACCAGGTGGAGGTTGCGAGAGAGACCACACTGCGCAAACTTCGCATCATTCTACTCTAATGTCATTAAAAAGCCACAAACCTTCACAGTGACCTTGGGACCGTCTCTCTCAGCCTAACTTACTTCATATGATTTGTGAGGATAAGATGCAGGAAGGGACAACAATGAGCTCCTTGGAGGAACAGCAGGACACAAAATGCAATAAATAGACTATAGTACGCATGCCAAGGTTCTCTTCAACAGCAACAGGCACAGAAGAAAAAAATCTGTTCAATTCCGTTTCATTTCACAAAATAACTGTTCTCATAAAAAAATGAAAGAATGGATTCTATTTTTATTTACTTCATTATTACCCTCCCTTTCTCCCCACTTTCCTCCATTTTAACCTCATAACCACACTGTGAGGTAGGTGAGGCTGAGAGATTCAAACCTGGGTCTCTCACATACTAGTCCAGCACTCTAACTCCTAGTCCACACTGGCCCATGCCTCTCATAGTTTTGATTAATGCATATGGTTAGTAAATAATATGAAATGAGATGTCTGTCATTCAAACTCCACAGTTATCTGAAAGACTCGGATCTGTTTCCACTCTGATAATGCTGTGGACAAATGCAGTCAAACGAAGTTAAAATACAAAATGTTTTAGAAAACAATCGCTGCTGGAACAGAGCAGTTCACACAACACAGAAATTTTGTCATCCAACTTTTTAAAAGCTCACAACTATTATAAGAATGCAAAGTGAAGACAAAATAAGGGGAGGAAGTATTTGAATGAGTGTATCTAAAAAGCCTGGAATCTCTTGTGAACTAAAAGGGTTGTTGCTGTTGTTCAGTCGCACAGTTGAGTCTGACTCTTCACGACCCCATGGACCACATCACGCCAGGCCCTCCTGTCTTCTGTCGTCCTCCGGAGTTTGCTTAATTTCATGTTCATTGCCTCGATAACACTGTCTAACCATCTCATCCTTTGTCATCCCCTTCTTCTTTGACTTTCAATCTTTCCCAACATCAGGGTCTTCTCCAGTGAGTGCTCCCTTCTCATTTGGTGGACAAAGTATTTGAGCTTCAGCTTCAGTATCTGGCCTTCCAGGGAACAGTCAGGGTTGATTTATTTTAGGATTGACTGATTTGATCTAAAAGGGTATTATGAGCCAAATACGAATTCATGCATGTAGCTAGAATGAACTTACCATACTGCTGCGCATACTTCATTCACATCTTCACAGATCGAAGTGATGTTGCAGTCACTGAAGCAATGACCTTCATTTGTGCAGGTTGTTGACTTAACATCACAAAACTTGCAAAGTCCCCGCAGTGGGACTGCACCATGAAGCATTTTAGTTGCATGCCCTTCAGCTGAAAACAAGAAAAACACGCATTAATAAAAATACCCTTTATTGCTCCTGTATACAATGTGTGGAAGCAAATTTCACTGGAAGAAATGGGAACTCTTCAAGACTGTGAGGACCAGAGACCAGCAAACATCGTACAAACATTTTAAAATGTAATATTCACATGTTTTAATCACCAGCAGCTAACTAAATCAAACTTTCAGATTCATTCAACTGGAAACCTTGATGTTTTTTGACACATTACAGACTACCGATGTGGCATAACCTATCACAGGCCACAGCCCGTCTGATATATATGAGTTATTTACTTCATGTATAGCCTGCCTGCCATTCTCCCCAATGGGAACCCAAAGCAGCTTACGTCATTTCCGGTCTCCCAATTTATCCTAACAACCACCTGTAAGGAGGTTAGGCTGAGTGGTCCCAAGGCTACCCAGCAAGCTTCCGTTGCAGAGTGAGGATTCCAACCTGGGTCTCCCAGATCTTAGACCGACACTCTAACCACTTCACAACAGTGTTGAAATGGGCTCTAGACTACAAAACAGTTAATCTTTAAGAGACTTTCTGCTGAGAAAGACAAACAATGTAATTATGTAGGCTTATATTTATCCCATTTTAAACACAATTCTTGAGCTTCTACATTTTACTTACAAAATTTTCCACAGAATTCTCATTCTATATGTCATACATACAGATTTACATAAATTATACATACAACAGCTTTTATTAGCTACCAGTTTCATATATGCTCCTAGTAATTAGATCTGATATTATCCAATAATATGAAAATGTGAGCTATTTGGTCCAACCAATGTTCATTTTGTGAGGTTCGTGATGCTGTAGAATGTCGTCACAGGAGGAGAACCGCATGCAGATCCTGGGCTCAGCTTCTCCTGTGGTACAATTTAAAGTGTGCTGAGGGAGGAGAAGCCATGGCAGCCAGGATCTTCCTGGAGATGGGAGAGCCCTCCCCACCACACGCAGATCCTGGGCTCAGCTTTTCCTCCTGTGGCACAGTTCAAAGCATTTTATTTATTTATTTATTTATTTATTTATTTATTTATTTTATTCAATTTATACCCTGCCCTCCCCGCTGTGCGGGCTCAGCATGCTTAGGGAGAAGAAGCCATGACAGCCAGGATCTGCCTGTGGCTGGGACAGCCCTCCCCACCACACACAGATACATTTCAGCCTAACAGAGGGGCTGGTATGCCCATCAGCTGTTAGGTTTAAAGGGCTGTGAGCCATTAACCCCTTTTGTTCCCCCTCACTTGGAAGCTGGAGGGGGGGAGCGAGAGGGATTGCTGAAATGGCTTGCATCTGTTTCGGCCTAACAGCTGATGAGCACACCAGCCCCGCTGTTAGGCTGAAATGGATGCAAGCTATTTGAGCGATCCCTCTCACCCCCCCCCCCACTTCCCACCACAAGCTGCATGAACATAAACATGTGGAGGGTCATGGGAGGGTTGTTGATAGGGGATGGGCATGAACCTCGGTTCATGGTGAATTTAGGTTCATGACGAGGTTTGTGCCCATCACTAAGACAAACTATTGTGTAAATACCCATGCTTTGTAATGTCATTCCAGAAGTACAGTGCGACCTGTCCAAATACTGCAAGGACTCACAGTATTTTGAGGCTGCAGTGTCAGCTGCCTCCACAGCTGTGTTGTTACTTGATGCCTGGCATTTCACAATCAAAATTTCATCCTTAATATTTTCATTCATTGGCACCTCTTGGGGGGAAAGATATAATACTTGAATACTGGCAAAGTAGCTTACAAGATAACTTTAAGAAAGGGATGTTCTTCTAGTGGGGGTGGGGTCCTTTGGATTTACTTAGGCCATTTTACCTCCCTTCCTACCGTTCTGGTAGTCTAAGTGACTGGTAAATCAGGTCTTCCAGTTCCAGGTTCCCTTGGACCTAATCCACACTGCAGTATCCACACTTCTGCAAACATGGTCTCTACATGCTTAACTACTGAACAGATCGTGAATGTTTGGGTGCAGTAGAGGCCCAGAGTAAGGGAGAAAGCCATTATGAGGCATGATAGATTTTTAACATGTCTTTAACACATTTTTAAGCACATTCCCTGCTTTCAAGGCATTTGTTTAAGCCACTTCCATCACACTTCAAATTATCCATCTTCATGCTATGTTTGAGAAATATTGCTTTCAGAAACAATGCTTCTATGCCCTAATGAGGTTCATGGAAGAAACTACCTTAGTAAACAGCTTTGGAACTCAGCAGAAAAAGGCCTCTATATATAAACACTGAACACATGTTTACATAACAGTGCAACAGTGTAACTTAGCAGCTTTCAGCAAAATGACTCAGTCAATCAGCAGTACTCCTTTTTATTCTGGAGTAGCCGCTGGAAGAAGGAATTTCCTCTTAAAGAGTTTAGAAATTCCTTAGGGTCTAACACACCAGCACGAGAAAAAAATATCTCAAACACAGACCAAATTAAGGCAGGTGACACAGGAACATGGCATTATGAGCAACCGTAGATTTTCCACCTACATGGGGGGGAAAGATATTTGCAGGGGAGAACTTGCAGGTGAAAGGGAAGAGTTTAATCCTTCCTCTGCCTATTAATCTTTCCTTGAAGATACCCACAGGCAATTTTAGCCCATTTTAGCTCATTTTCCCCCAGCCAACCTTTCAAGACCAGAAATAATCTCTCTGGGAGAAACACAGTTTCATGGAATCACATCTGTAGAGGACTATCCTTGAAAGACTGACTGCTTCCTCTTTTCACCCATGTCCCATGTCCTTATATTCACTTATTTCTAATGTCCTTATATTAGCTCAGCAAACGGATCTAGGAACAAACATTTGTTGGAACGACATATAGCTTTGCCCAGAGATCACATCCACAAGGAAGTATTTTTAACTAATTCAATAGAGTGCATTTTTTTTTTAATGATCCAATTGAAAATCCACACATTTTCCCTGAAACGTCATAAGCAGGATAACAAAATCCTACCAGAATTTACTCAGTGATCATTCATGGATGATGCAAAGGTTTTGCATGTGTATTCCTCCATGAATCACTGCAACAGCATTCCAGCAGTGGGAAATGTGGTATCACAAGAAAGTGTTTTGATTTGCGATTTGTATGTGCCAGTTGCATGGGACGTTTTGCAGTTTTACAAATTATACATGCCCTACATTTTTGTGTCTTTTGGTTTTCTGGTAATATCACACAGAAGATCTGGATTCAGACTGAAGTAGGCATGTATAACAAGATTGCACTAGCAACTAACTAAACCTAATGCAAACACAGACAGTTCTCAATCTCTGGAAGAGTGTTGGTAAGATTTTAAAAACAGAGGGCTTTTTCATGGGAAGGAACACATTCTTCAGCAGAAGAAAAAACTCAAAGATACCACAAACTTTATCACAGTACCCACGGGGAAGTTGAATCATCTCTTTGGAAACTGGCATATTTCCTGTTTTGTCTATG